ACAGTGGGAACTAGCCCAGCACTAGGTATTTTTAATACAATTGCAATACAAATAAGTAATAAATATGCACTAACTTATTGTGTATTCAGCAAGTCACATGGAACAGACAGATTCCAGATTCTCAACTGCTAGGTCACTATTTAAATACCTTATCAAAACCTCAGCAAAAACGTGTTTTGTTGTATTACAGGAAAATGCCCAACTTTTCTTCTTAAAAATCAAGTATTTAAATGCATTTGTGAACTTCCTGCATTTCTTTGGTCTTTTCTTTGTAGAGCTACATAGTCAAGACAAATATAACTGCTTAACTTGTTTCTTCTGAAATTAAAAGCAGGCCTTATCAACAAGTTTTCCTTTTCTTACTGAAACTGGGAAGAAAAGCCAGCCTCAACACTTAATAATAGCAGAGATGCCCTCTCATGTCTCTTTTCTTATTACAGTACTCGTAAAAGCTGTTAAAGCCAAACAAATAGCAATTGCAAGGCATGAAAGCATGGGTTTGGCCTTCACAAACAAAGGAAGCAGTTACACAGATAAGTGCAAGCAGAAATAGATTACAAAAGCATGTAATCATTTTATTAATTAAACTGAATATTAAAGATTAAAGCGCATCTCAACTTTGAAGAAGCATTTACATCTAGTATCAATAGAGAGAACTAATATTTGCTGTTACTAACAGAAACGAGCAGAGCCAGTGTCACTGTAGCCTTGAGCCCCAACAGTTTTATTTCTCAAGGTAACCCTGCATCTTGATAATAAAACAGATTGAGCCCCTCAGTTCCCAGTTCTGTTCAATACAGCTGAAGCTCCAAAGCAATTTGTCTTCCCTTCACAGACCCTCATATAGGAAACAGACCCTCAAGAGGCAAGAAATTAAAACAAAACAAAACAGAAAACGGAACAAAGAGGACAAAGCTGGAACATCGTAACTTTTTGCTAAGTCCATACTGCAAAACTGCATGCAGAATGCCAAACAGGAGAAAAAAGTACAATGACCCAAGCTTGCTCTACAGGTTCCAGAAACCAATCTGACCTACAAGCAGTCCCACGGGAAAACTGCAACCCCCATCTTAAACAAGTAAAGCTGAGGATCCAACTCTGGGCTTTATGTAAAGGGAAGTCTCAGCACAGCATCGTTGGCAGGAAAAGGCAAAGCTCTTTTCCCTGAAAGGTATCATCAGAGCAAGTCACTTAACCCATCTGTCCCTTTTTCTCAACCTAGAAACTTGGGAAGTAGAGGGAATTCCTCTCTTGTTCACAAGGTATTAGCTGATTTTCAGTAAAGCAGCTTCTAATGCTGTTGCAGTTCTCATAGGAAGAAGAGATACAAATGGCAGCAGTGAAATAATACATTAAAATCAAAGCTAACGTAAAAGAAAATACTTACATAGCACAGACAGGCATGTACATGGGACACACACACTGTGCATTTACCTAATGATCCATGAGAAGCTGATGTCCCCAGGAATGTGTTTTCTGATTGGCTTAAGTGTCCCTGGGGCTGATGGAGGAAATGCGATGAGAGGCTGACCGGTGGAGAAGGAGAGGCAGAGTGAAAGGAGGCAGAGCTTCCAAGGGACCCGGGGATATTTACAGGAGCAGAACTTTGCAGCAAACTCCCACCTGGACAAAGAACACACAGAGAAGATGGCTATGTATGACCATGAAGTATGGGCCAGAGCACAGTGCAGGAGCTCAGAGCAGAAGGCGTTAGCTTCCCTCTCTCCTTCCTACGCCCCGCGGGATTCCCTCCGCTTCTCAACACGTTTCATTCCCCTCTCAGCCTTTCAGAGGAGCACTGAAGCTGCTGTCCCATGAACCACGTAGGTGAAGACCCTCCAGAGTTCAAAGGACTACTCTTTCATCGGCCAAAGCAACAAAAGGTTTTCTGAGCAGAGTTCGGTCCCTACCAGCCAAGAGAAGATGAATTGGGTATCTGGTGAAATATTTTGTATTGAAAAATTCACTTCTCAAACATGCACCTCTGCCTTTAATACTTCCAAACAACCTGTAGTGAGAAGACTATCGAGCTGGGTCAGGTCATGATCTTGGCCACTAAAACTCAGTGACTAGCTTTAATCATTTTAGAAATACTTGAGTGCCTGGATCTATCAGGAACAAAAACCTCCAAAATAAACAAAAGCCCATGCTCCAAAGACATCACACTCCTCTTACCCAAGTGGTCATTCTGCCTGCCACACACAGATTGAGGGAGATCTCAGCCCTGCTCCCCACTCCCTCCTGATCTCCCTTCCTAGAAGATCACCAGGTAACACCCAGACCTGAGGCGAACGGAGGGAAAAGCAGTGTGGGGGTCTCTAAGCCACTGCACATGGGTGGTGGCAGAAGCAGGGCTATCAGCAGACGTGCACAGTAAACTCTCCGACCAGGCTCTTATCTTTGGCAGGGAAGTGGAAGTGACATTCTTTAGGGTTCCTTCCACAGGCCCCTTCCTACCTCGATACAGCTCCAGGCAGTGTAGTTCCCCTGGAAACTTTCAGACCACCAAAGTTAACTCTCATTCAAAACCTGTCTTACACAGCAAGGGTAGCCAAAAACTACAACCACTTCCAAAAAAGCTATGAGACATTTCATTTTTCCCTGAACACTCATTAGAGACAGGTAGAAGCAGCCTTAGCCTACCTCCACGTATTAAAATGAGACAGACATTACAGGAATCAAATCAGCAGACCACGATGACACTCTGTGACAGATGGATAGCATTACCAGGTCAGTGAGTTTCCTGTTACTGCTAGGGAGAGTTTTCTGCCTAAGATGCAAATCGTTACACTTTGGCCTGTTTTAAAAGGTATCAGATGCCTTCTAGAGTCTACTTGCATACTTAAAAAAAAAAAAAAAAAAAAAAAAAAAAAATCACACAAGTCCCATTCAGTCTCAAGAAACATCCCCAAGACACCTGGGCCCAATGGCAAGAACTCAGCTCTGCTGGTCAGTAAGGGCAAGCTTTCACTTCAAAGGTGCTCAGCGGTTGCCAGTTTGTTATAATTGCTGTTTTAACCAATGTTACTTGGGGACTGGTTTTAGAGCTTTGTTGGGCTGGCTCCACTGAGGTGACTGGGCAACACTGCTTGGCAGAAGATAAAGAAAGCTCTGTTGCTTTCATGTACCTATCATGATGCCACTCGTGTGGGGCACTGTGCTGCTGTCAAATGTCTTCTCCAGGGCAGCCACTCCGAATTCATTCAGGTCCAGGTCATCCAAGGCAGACTCTGCCAGACACAGAGGTACCAATTATGTTATAAAGGACCAACAACTTCAAGAGATAGGATGGCCCAAAGAGCCTACATGCAGAGGAGCCTTCGCTCTCTATTTGTCAGCCTGCACAGCCCTACTCTCCGCCCTGTGCAAAGCTGTTCTTAAATGGTTTGGCAGAAGTGTCATGGGCAGCTTTTCAGTTCAGGCTCTTTTGCCTGATCCAATTTCTTTGTGTCTCGAAGTATTCCCAAACGTTATACAAGAATAAAAATTTGATGAAATAACAGCAGTTCCCATAAGTCTTCCCCAAACTGTTCTTTCAAGTCTGTTCATAATATGCAGTAACACTGGCTTATGACATGTCTGGGTCTGGCTTGTGCTTTGTCCCTACTGTGCTGAAGAGCCACTCAGAAAAGGAATATCAGAGGAAGGGAACACTTGAAAAATATCTCTGAGGTTCAAAGATAGTGTAAAATAAAGAAAGCTTATGAATGCCTGCAAATGTTATTATCTATTTGAATATGCCTCATCACTAATCATGATCAATATAATTCCATCCCACACATGTCTACTCATTTCTATTATTATTTTTAATAAATTAGTGAGATCACCTCAGAAATGTTAGATTAAAAAAAACCACACCAAAAAAAAACCACAGGTGACCAAAAAACCTGAACCTATCTAAGAGGAGTGATTCCACCCTCTGGACTCTCCCGTTCTCCTTTTTCTTATAGCCTCTGTCCTACACTCTCTGAAGGGCAAGTCCTTCCAATCTACCTGGTGGTAGCCTTTGCTATAAAATTGTCATTTAAAATGTAAGGGGTTGTAGCTGTGGAAAACGCCCCTGTGACTTCCTGCCTGCTCCAAGACCTCTTTGTCACTTTGACAAACCTAAAACTAAGGCCCTTTACACCATCTGACATTCTGAATAAGTGGCTCAGAGGCCTTCTGTTGGTCCTGTGGGTGAATTTCATCCGTAATGACCTGCAGAAAACATCAGATGTGTCACAGTCACAGAAAAAGCTTACAGCCTCGGGAGTCTGCCAGCACTGACAGAGATGAAAAACTGGAGTTCACTGGAACACCCGTGTTATTCCAATTCGCATACCTGGTGATCCACGTCTGGGGAAGCCCTATTAGTGTAAGTTAAAAAGGCAAAGTTACCTATGACAGACTCAACGGTGTCACTGGTTGGGTAGAAAGGAAGGGCATTGGCATTCATGCCTGGTATGCTGCTGGTGCCGGCAGGGCTTGGTGGCGTTGCAGCCAGACTGGAGGTGATACTAGAGGAGATGCTGGATGTCAGTGGGCTCCCCACTGGGAGAATACCCAGTATGTCCTGAAACAAGAGGTTTAAAAGG